CTACTTCAATTCCCACCTATACTACATTTCTCTCCATTCCTGTAACAAAACATTCACGCACATATTTTTTACATTCTCCTTTTACCATCTTTTCCACACTACAAAGGCTTACACATCCTATAAAAGTTAATCCTTGGTTTAAACATCACCTCTCATGAGAAGTTTTCTCTTTCCCTCAAGAAAGTGGGTCTACTTTATTCACTTTTCACTACTTATTTCAAAACTGTTTCCATTAATGACAACATTAGAAACAAGTTTATTTTGGTTTTGTTGTTTCCTAATTGAGACAGTGGTCTGGCTATGTTCCCCAGACTGGCTTTGAACCTCTTAGACTCAAAGGACCTTTCTACCTTAGTCTCTCTAGTAGCTGGGACTACAATTCCATCTCTGTTCAAAAATAAATAAGTAACTCATCAATGAAAGAAACAAGTTTTCAAATAAAAAATAACAAAGACTAACTGGAACTCTCATATAAAATGCTACAATCAGTTTGGAAAACAGTCTGGCAACTTCACATAAAGTTAAACAGATAATTATCACAACCTACCAGTTCTTTTCCTAAGCATTTAACCAAAAGAAATGGAAGTAGATGAACATATGAACACTCAAAAAATAAAAAGAATATAATGGAAACAGGGGGCCTGCCCATTAGCTCAGTTGTTTAAGTGACTGCTTAAACAAAGCAATCAGGATGCTGTGGTTCAATCCCTAGATCCTCAAGCCTTACCAGACCTACCCTGAAGGTATCCTGAACCAGCCAATAAATAAATAAATAAAATGGAAACAAAGCTTTGTAAATAAGGAAGGGAAGAGGGTCTAAACAGAGGGAAGGGGAATGGGGAAAAAAGATCTGAGATATACATGTAGAGGTATATGTTTCCTATGAGGAACGTGGTTATTATGTTTATTTAAATTGTACCAATGAAATTAATTTAAACTTATGAGCACTGAAAGATCTGAATGTAAATGTTAAAACAACTTAGTTCATAATAGTAAAACTGTAAACTCAAATATCCACCAACTGATGAACTGATTGACAAATTGCATTATACTCAGCAATAAAAAGAAACAACTGTGGCTAGAAGTATAGTTCAGTGATAGAACACATCTGTGGTATGGGTGAAGTGCTGAGTTCAATCCTGTTATGGTTTGCATTTCTCCCCCTAAAGCCTCATGCAGTCACTGAGGCACAGTTCTACAGTTTGTGATTAATTCATGATCCAAAACTGGGATTATGGGTCTGAGTACTGCTGGGATTAAGGATGTGAGTGCTATACCCAGCCTGGGGCGGGTAGCCTGAATGCAATGTAAGAGAGACAAGGAGACAGACTTGCTCTCTGTAGCTATTACTGTTACTCCTCCCTTTTGCTCTTGCTGTTTTGCTGCCTTCTGTTACTGCCCTCTGCCATGTGCCGCTCTACCTTGGAGCCAGCTGTGTATGGACTGAAACCTTCAGTAACTGTAAGCTAAATAAACCTTTTTTTTTCCTTCATTTTGCGTGTCGGGTATTTGTCCCAGAAACAAGAGAAGACTAAGTAAGACAGAATTTGAACCTGATACCGAGAGTGGGGGCACTGATGTGGCTAAACCTCACCATGTGGATTACAAGTTTTTGGAATGGCTTACGGGAAGACATAGGAAAGGTTTGGAGATATCGTCTATAACAGAGGCACTGGCACAGCTTCAGCTGTTCTGTCAGAGCTCAGAGACCAGAAGGCTGGTAGAAAGCCTGCCTGTAAAGACCAGGCTGGGGAGGTTTCTGCTGGGAAGAAGGCCTGCACTGGTTGCCGGACTCCAGGTCATTTGTGTTTTGGCTTGGTAGAAAGTTTGTCTGTATTTTGCTTGTGTCCAGGGACTTTGCATGAGACTGAGATTAAGCATGGCAGACTGATTAATCTTTCAAAAGAAATCTCAGGGCCAGGGAGATGGCTCAGTGGAATAAGTGCTTCCCTGGCAAGCACAAAGGCCTGAGTTCAATCCTTGACTCCAGGAAGAAAAAAAAAGAAAGAAATCTCAAAGTAGTCGAATATTCAAGCAGTAGCATGGCAGTTGTTAGGGGCTTTTAACCAGATTTATGATGAGAATCAAGAGAAAAGAGCCAGTAGGATGATTTAAAATCTGAATTTACCCAGAAAGGAAGCTCCAATAAAGCTGTAGAATACAAAGATAGAGCTGAGAGGATCTCCATTGCCAAGAGGGAACAAGAGAATGGAAAGGATGGTCAGAAGGCATCACAGGAGGTAGGTCTCCCCACTTTGCAGCCTCAGAATTGCAAGGGTGAAGGACTTTGCCTTGAGGGGAAACCCACAAAGCCCCATGTTCCAGAATGGAGGCAGCAGTCACACCAGGTTTCAAAATGGCACTAGCATGGAGAATTTATTTCTCAGAATCAGGGTCAGAGTGCTCAGTGATCCAGGCACTTGACCCCTACAGCCAAGAGAAAAGGAAGCCTAGCTATTGCTCCAGCTGGCAGTAGACCTTGGCATCATCCATGTGGCCTTGGTTTTAGGCACATTCAGAATGCAGGAGTTCTGAGGTTAAGAAGGTTTCCACCTAGATTTCAGAAGGCTTGGAAGGCCAAATGGTGTGCCCCTGAGAGAGCAGTGGGGGAGTGAGAAGCTTAATGTGCAGTGGATACCCCAGAAGTTTGGAAAAGCCAGAAACATGGATCATCTAAGAGAAACTATAAGGAGGAAGGAAAGCCACCTTAAAAGAGAGGTATGGGAGCTACCACCAACAGTGCCATAGGAGTGGAGCTACATGTAGCTCACGATTTGCCACAGATTGCTTCGGATGTTGTTTATGGAACTACAGGATTTAATGTTTGCCCTGCTGTATTTGGGACTTGTGTTGGTCCCAATGCTTTGCATTTCCCTGTTGCTTGCAACTTTTGGAATGGTAATGTTTATCTTGTGCCTTTATTATAAGTGTTTAACTTTTTTTTTTTTTTTTTTTTTTTTTTTTTTTTTTTTTTTGGTATAGGGGCTCACAGCTAAGAGTTTGCCTTAGATCTCAGAGGAGACTTGGGAGTTGGACTTTTCAGCAATGCTGAAACTGTTCGGACTTTGGCAACTCTTACCCAGCACCAAAAAGAAAAAAAAAAAGTGAGAAGGGGGAACATCTACCAATATGTACAACATACATAAGCCTCATGTGATTCTAAATGGAAAAGTCAAGCATAAAAAAGCTATAGTTTAGTTGGGCATGATGGTGCAGAACTGTTATCCCAGAACTCAGGAGGAGGTTGAGACAGTAGAACCACCACAAATTCAAGGCCCACCTGTGCTACATAGTGAGTTCAAGGCCAGCCAGAACTACACAGCCAGACCCTATCTCAATACAAACTAAAAAATGCTGAAGAATAGGATATTTACTCCTTACAAAAATAATTAACTTTACTGTTGAGAAGCCTAGTAGACACTGATTATACATCAAAGTATCAAAGTGAAAATTATTAAGTGAAACTGCACCACCAGACAAGATGCAGCGATCATCACTTCTCTAACACTTGAGCCCAAGTGTGTAACATATGTATCGACCATGAAAAAATAGACAATCCAAATTGCAGAGCCTTCAACAAAATAACAACTGTAATCACCAAAAGGGTCAAGATCATTAAAGTCAAGAGAAGAAGAAGGAACTGTTCCAGATTAAAGGCGACTATGACAATCAAATGCAACACATAATTCTGATTTGCATCCTTTTGCCAATGAAAAGATTAATAGCACATGAATAAAACTTGAACTACATGTTGTTCTATATCTGGGTGAATTTCCTATTTTGATGACTGTACTGTTATTATGCAAAACAACCTTGTCTGGAAAATGTACACTAAAGAAAATTCTTTTACTGTACTTGAAACATTTTCTAAAGTCTGTGATTGTTTAAAACTGGAGGAAAGCAACAATGAAACAAAGTTAAAAACAAAACTGAATTACCACACTGTTGATCCCAGTAGGAAAGAGACAGTGGCCCAAGAGTGGGCAGAACAATGGTATTCTGACACTACTGATGTCTGTAAACATCAGCAAAATACAATCTCAGCATCTCTGAAAAAAGGCACTGTAAAACTGTTATCTAAAATTCCTTGTAAATTTGAGATTAGATTTACTCTTAAGTAAAAGGCATCCTGGGCTCAATCTGTTACTACATTATGCTTAGCTTGCAGTGATGTAAAGAAATGCAAACACAAGAAACGAACATGCATGAACTCTGAATTACTGAGGTGGAAATACATCAATTAATGTAATGTAGTCTTCAAAGAAAATTTTCCAGCGAATGAAGGGCACAGTTAAGACACACGTGTAAGTGAAGGGAGATCACTCTCACCCTCGGTGGTCAGAAGGTTGATTTATTTTTAAAAAGATGGTCATTTTGGACCGTCACAGTTGTCCTGAAAGAACAGGGCTCATTTCCTAGAAATGTTTTTAAAGTGCGAGGATCCTTTCCTCTTCCTTGGGTGCACGCGTGCGGCGAGGCGGTCCCAGGCCCCCAGGGCACAGGGGTGAGGCAGCGCCGGACTCCCGGCACTTCCTTTTGGAGAGGACAGCCCCCTGCGTCACTGGCCGCTCGCTCGCTCGGGATGCAGAGCAGAAGTTAACCCCGAGGAATTTAGCACAGTTGGCTCCCGCCCTCCTAGCCTTGCGGTTCTGGGCCCGACCCCGCCAGCACTAGGGCGCTGCCCGGGTCCCCGATGCCTCCGGCGAGGGTCGCGGCACCGAGCCTCGGCCGCAGCTGGCCCGGTGGACGGCCCGGTGGACAGCCCCGCGCCTGGCCGACGCGGCCTCGCGTCCCCAACCAGCTCCGCCGCGCGGATCCCTCACGCCCACCGCGACGGCCGGCCCCACCACAAAGGCCCGCCGCCGCCGCCGCCGCCGCGCACGGGGCCGGGCCCTCCGTGCCTCTCCGCCTCCCGGCAGCGACGGCCGGCCCAGCGGAGCCCACTGGACAGCGACCGGGGGCGGGGAGGCTCGGGGGCGGCGCCCGCCCCACACCCTTACCTGGCTTCTCGTGGTCGTAGCCTACCACAATGAAATAGTCCGCCAGCCGCGCCATGGTCGCCGCCCCCGCGTCCGGGAAGCGAGTCCCCGTCGCCGCCTTCGCCGCCGCCGCTCGCCCGACCCGGGAGGACTCAGCATTTTCCCCGAAGCGGCCGTAGCGGCAGCGGCGGCGCTTCAGCCATGTTTGACAACCGGGACGCGCTCTGCGCCTGCGCCGGCCCTGCGCCCCTCCTCCCCCGCCCCCACCGCGCCG